AGTATAAATGATGAGAACTTGCTTTAAACTGATTTATTCCCTGCAGCAATAAAAGGAATGTTTCTTCACTCAGCTGTTTAATATGCAAATATGCAGAGCATCCAGCTTCTGACAGCACATCATTAATAAAACCTTGCACTAAGCAGAGCTCCCGATATTTCATCCTGATGAAAATACATGATGATGATTTTAGACTGTATAATTTCAGAGTTGGAACAATGTACTTCCCAGTGATGGAAACTCGGAAATCCACAGTTCCAGCACAGATTTTTTAATAAGTTAACCTACTTCCGTAAGTTTGTAAGAATTGCGAATACAGAAAAGGTTGTGGACAAAACCTTTCAACTGGACAATCCAAACCTTAGTTTAGGAATCGGTACAAAAACCCATGTTATTTATAAAAGATAATTATATACAGAAGACAAGAGAGGATTTCTTTTTTTAATCAGCTATTTCCTCTCTTATTTACCAAGCTTCATGCACTAAGAAAATTCCCTGTACCTCTACTCCTATGAGCCTCTGTATATACATACTGATATATCTTCAGTAAATAATCTTATACCTTGAAATGAATTAAAACAAAAATAAGGGGGGAAAAAGTCTGCAATTTTACTTCTTTCCATTAAAATCTATGAAATTGAACTTGTTTATCTGACCATGCTGTAGCATTCTACTGTGTTTACAGCCAAATTAAGTACACACTTTTTTCTTCATTGCTTGTGCTAAAACTCTTACACTCCTCCCAAAGAAGTTTTTAAAATGGTTTAAAGCTATCAGATGTTTGAAATAGGGAAAGGAATATTTGCCAATGCTTTGCTCTGAAGTCTTTCCAGTCCAAAGTTGGACATTGGAAGCTGTACAGAAATGTTACATTTTTTAAAGCATTAGTTTGTGTAGAATTGATCCTAATGGGCAACAGGGAATGTCCATTTCTTTATTGGAACTGATACACAGAGAATGTTGATCACTTTACAACATGGAAACCCAAGGAGCACTCATTTGCTTGCAATAGTAGGTAACAATTAACAACTTGTTAAAGTCTGGTGTTTGGGGTGGCTTTTTTGGCTGAAACACACTGTTCTTTTGCCACAGCAGTGCTCAGTCAAATATAAAGACCCTTCCTGCACTGCAAGAACAAAAAAAAAAAAATGACTTTGCGTTTTAATTCAAAAATATTTCTACTGTGAATCAATCATTTAGTGTATTTCAAAGAAGTTTGAAGGGTTTTCCTTTGAATCATTTCCCACTGGGTACCTAGGAAACAAAACATCTTCAGGGCTAAATTTCAGGGGAAGTCTTGCAGGTTTTAGTAAACTTCTTCAAGCCAGTACTTTACATGTTTCTGTTTTCTGTGCATGGCAATACTCCCTCATAACTCAAATGGGATTAACCAATTAAACATTTCCCAGTAGTCTCTAAAATAGCTGCTCTTGGCATGTTTTTTGCATGGAACAAACCTCAGCGGGAGGATATGATAGAAATCTTGCACTATTTAAATATAGAATTGGGACATCAAAGAAAGGGTTGTATTGAAATAACATGGATAATTAAGGAAGTGGAGAACAGTAATAACTGATTTACATAAAATGCTAATAAGCCTCTTGACTTGTTCGGCAATTTCTGCTTTAGGCATAGTAACTGCGGGTTCAAATTTGTGTACTAATTTTATTTTAGTATTTTCTTTTTCTTCCTTTTTTTCCTTCTATTTTTTAAGCTATTTACAGCCAGGTCACTTGGTACCTGACATCAAATCTTTTTCAAGACAAACCCCTAAAGAAATCAGAATCTGAGTATAAACTTGTGTAAAAGTTTTGTACACATTTGTATCCAAGCAGGCATACAAAGCGCAGAGTATAAAGGCCTTTAATTACTTGTCTGCATGTGTATGGATTCAGACTGTATCTCTTCTATTTTAGTTCACTTTCATGTCATGCTGAATAATGTGTTACAAACAATCAATGACATATTAAAAATGTTAAATGCTCTCCACAATTATCCGTACTGAAAAACTTTGAAAACAACTGGAGTGTAATGGAGAGAATGTGTTTCCATGGTGCTATGCTTCTTGCTACTTGGAGGGCACTGCACCAGCACTATAGGTTATAGCTATTTTACATTGTACCCTTGTGCCATTTGCTTCTGCAAAGAAATTATATGCTCTGAAATTCTTGTTTTATTTTACTTTCCTACTGATCTCTCCTCACAGTGCTACAGCAGCAGTGGCTTTGAGATGTGAATGTGAATGAGTGTCTGGGCTGTTCCTTCAGGACATGTCTGCGTATTGACCTTCAGCTTACCCTGTTTCCCTGTGAGCCCTCTAAGCATGATCCATCGCTTTCTCAGGCCATTCTCCCTTCACCCCATTGATGGGTTTCAGAGCTACTTAAATTTCAAAGTCCTGATGCGTTGCAGCAGTGGCCAGGGCTCAGCTTTGCTCACTTATAGATTGTACAAGGTCACAATAAGGGAAGGGGAAAAAAAGCCAGAGCATTTATCAGGATGTATTGCTTTACTTTTTCTATCCATCACACAGGCGATGATTCTATTTTAGTGAAAATCCATTGAACTCAGATCAAGTCAGATGGCTGTTATCATTGGAAACTCAAGAGCTGTCACACCATAATCGGTACAAATGAACACTGAAACGTGGGGCTTGAGGCCGCTTAATGGTCTTTAGTGAATTTTTTTCTGTTGCTTTTTAAACACCACAAAATCATTTTACTTAAGACATTTCAGTTTGAGAAGACCAAGACTTTGTTATGCAAGCACAGTTGATTCAATTACAGGTGATCTGACAGGTATTGTGCAATTAAACATTGTATACCAGTATGCTCTCTGCCCCCTTCAAATACTAGTACATGCATATAGACCATCCATACAATCACAGTTGTTTGCCTCAAAGCTCTTCTGATTCAGGTCATCTTCTGTGATACACTTTCCACTTGTAACAGACCACACCACAGTGCAATATTAACAGGAACTTTTGCAGCAATACAGCTTTGTGTTTTGTGAATAAGCTTAGGTAAAGCTTCCCTGTTGCAGGCTACCTCTGCATGAAGGAGCTGTTTGAACGCAGGGAAGGAGGAAAGCAAGTTCCCCGTGCGCTTCCCTACTATTTCTCAAATCACAAATAGTTTTGTATTAAATTTTAATAAAAAGTTTGGGATCCTGAACATACTTTAAGGCATTAGAAAACTTTCACCACACAGATACGGAATTCATGGATATTATTCACTATGATTACAAGTGCATTCAAACTGCATCAGAAATACAGGGAGTAAAAGGGCATAGCTGTAATACCTGACAGAGTTCATTCTTCCTGCAGTCCAAGCATGCTAATTATTCTCATGCTTAGGCCTCATTCTACTTCCTATCAATTGTAACAGACTCACCTTCTACTTACCTGTTTTGATTTCATCACATGTGCATGAAAAAGACCATTTTTCATTTTTCTAGACCCAGGTTCTAGAGGATGTTGACAGATAATTAAAATTGCCTCTCTAATTAAGAGAAAAATAGCAACTGGCGACAACTTCGCTCCATGGAAAAACAAGCTATTCCATAAAATGGTTATTTTCCTACTGAAGCCCCATAATAAAATAATTGCCATGCAATTTCTGAAAGTACAAAAAAATCCCAACCCTCTTCACTTGCCAGACAAACCCATTCCCCAGACAGATGATTTACAGTACTTGCTCAGAGTAAGCTATCCAGCTTCACATGCAAATCTTTGCCTTGAACACCCCCTTCTCCACTATAGCTACAGAATATGGCAGAGGAAATACGTGATTGTTCTGTAGGAATGTCCTAAGCTATGTGGAGCTTTTGATTATTTAGAGTATGTTTAGATCGTAGGTTTTGACCTTCTCCCATGGAGCTGGAACAACACAACACGAGAAATACCTCAAACCAGACAAGATAACGGAGCAAAGGAACAAAGGATGGCTACCCTACGGTAGCCATCATTCCCACTGAACAATGAAGAACAATACATATTTATTATTACTATTATTATAAAGCACACATAGCACCTTATAAAAAGAACAGTCAAAGCCTGCTAGCTAACTTGGCAGATCTAATTCTTCTGTCACTGCCATATTCACAAGGCCAGCATGGCCTCTCCAGTCCCTGATTGCAGCTCCAAGGCTGTTCTAGTGTGGTTCCAGCTTCCAGTGAAGTGCAAAACTGAAAGAAATAAACCTCGAGCAAAATGTGCTTAAGGCATGCTTCCCTCTCACCTGCTTCCCTCTTGGAGTGGCCAGTGTGCTGTGAAAAATCTGCTTTCACACTCTGTAGCATAGTGCAGGGACTGCTCTGTCTTAAACATGCCAATCACAGGAATGGAGTGGTGATCATGCAGTGGAGGTCTCTGTGCATCTGGACATCTAATACAAACAAGTGTTTCATATTTTGCTTGAACAAGATTTCCAGGCAAAGCCGCAGGAAACAAGGCCTGTAGTTCTCTGTTTTCATCTATCAATGCTTCCAGAGATCTGGAAGAGGGCATGGCGAAGGCTCTGCAGAAACTCTTCAGAAGACCCTTTAAAACTCCTGCACAATGGTATTAATAAGCCTTAATGTAATGGTGGATCAACCCCTGTGCTCTGTGCTTCAAGAAGCAGAAAATCTTAAATAGCCTGGTATTGTATCTTCAAGTCTTCTTTCTAAACATTAAACCAAATGCAGTTCGGGGAAGCTCTATGTTTAAAATAGTGTATTTTTCTTTAATGAGAAAACTACATCTTAACTTTCAGCCTGATAAAAAAAAATATTATAATCTTTGTGGATATTTTAAATGTAGCAAGCAACAATTCACAGACTTGTAGCTGTAGTCACCTTTGCATACACTGCACGCTTAGGGAAGAGCACACAATGCAATAAGAGCTGTGCTATGATGTGTTTCCAGAACTGAAATATCTTGGGCAAAAACAGATTTTCTCCTGTGTTAACACTGAATTTCCAAAAAGATGTAGGAGCTAAAAATATGCTTAAAATGCATATACTAAAAATCTTTTTATTGCTCACTGATTTGCAAGATAAATCCAGACATTAGTGCCATCACTACTCTCTGCTCCCAGGTTTGGGGCTGGACAGATAAGAGAAGATGGATTGAGCCAAGGGACTCTTCAAATGATCACAGTTAAGCAGAATGGTTTCTTCTTTATATCCTGCACTTGAACTCTGTTATTGCACAGGGGGCATCTGGAGAGTAGGATATGTGTTGTTCAACTATACCAGTAAAAACTAATCTATCTTCAATGAAATTTCTGATGTCATCTGTTTTTGCAAACAACCCTTCTAGCTCTTCTCTACCACTTTTTGTCAACTATCCAGATACTGGGCTATTTGCAAAAGAATCATGCACTTGTATTTTTATTCCTTAAGTCTTTTGCTTTCTCTCCTGTCAAAAACTTCTTTTTCACAGCTTTTCCTCCCATGTAAGGGAAATATCTTCACCATTTCCAGCAACCGTGATGTCTTTCGCTGAAGTTCTGGGACAGCGAGCAGCAGTGGGAGGCAGTATTTCACACGGGCCTTTAATTCGTTTGAATACTTCCATCTCCTGCTCTAGGGAGCCAAGAAATTGATATGTTTAGTTCAGGGTATGTGCTTCATAGTTCCCACTGCAGCACAGCAAGGCCTGACTTCTCAAAGTTCTAATGTCACATGGTTTCCCAAAGAACAAGGGCCTATCCAGGTCTTGCTTCTTTTTCCCACAAAGTCAAGAATACATCTGTAAAAGCCTGGATATTTCTGGCAAATAGCATATGAGCCCAAAGCCTGACAATTCAGTATAAGTACAATTAAAAAACTCTAATTAGGTAATTTAAAAGGAAAAGGGGAAAAAAGGCAAGCAAACCAAACTGAAAGCTTTTAGTTTCTTTTTTATACCAACAAACACTTGTTTTCATTGTATGGCTCTTACAGGTTGTGAATGTTAATTGGCCAATGACAATAAAGTGTTCTGAAATCCTGATATGGCATTGAAGTTACCACAGATTCACTAAATACAGTCCATAGAGATAACAACATTAAAATAAATGGGCATAGATTCTGGAATGAAAATACATGCAGCATTTTCTACAACCTTAAAAAAATGAAAAAAGCAAAAATATCCCTCTTAAACAATTTTTGCTGGACACAAAATTCACTGCGACTTCCAGCACTGAAGAGGTGATTTTCTTCCTCCATACCTTCTGTATCTTTAAGGTATCAGTGTTGGTGGCTGTAGCAGGAGATGTAAAAGAGCTGATGCTCTGCTAGGGAAGGGAGCACGGTAGGATGGTGGGCACTCGTGCTCAAAGAAGGACTGACATTATATGTCCCCATCCCAAATAACAGTTCTATATTCAATTCCATCCACTGGAGATGTCAGCAAGGGAAACAAGGTTATGTGGCAGCAGCTACCAGATTTTACCTATCTATATAAACACATTTAAACGTGGGAAATAAGGTTAGGGGAATGACCTTGAGGTATGGACTTTTAGACTTGTAACCCTCACAGAACTTCAACTTGAATGCTGCAAGTGGGAGAAAAAACAGAGCATGATACCAATACACCTACCATAAATATCCATTGGAAAAAATTAAACGTGTTATGTGCTTTAATACAGTCCCCGCCTGTGAACTGGGAATGCTTTTGTAGTTAGTGTGCTGCCTCATCGAGCAGACAAGCTTCTTAATAACTGGATGTTAGGAGAATTGAAGCAAAACTTTTATCTTTACTATAAAATCTCTCTTTTCAAGCACTAAGCTCCCTATGAAACCAGAATAACAATGCTCCTATTAGGTAAGCAAGGGACAGAGTGGATGCAAATCCCTATGGAATTAACATGCCTGCTCCTGAGTCAGCGCTGGGCCTCCCAGCATCGACCTTGCCAATCAGCATGTCTGGTTTTTCCCATTTCCCAGTGGCACAGGCCTCATCTTCTCTCTGAAGAAATCAACCCCAGTATGTGGCACCTCTCCAAATTAGCACCACAAACCAGGGTGGGTTTCAGAGTCTAATTAGAATTACTGGAAAGTCCATTTTTCAGTAATTTCCACAGTATTTAAACAAAGAAATTAAAGAGTGTGGCTCTATGAAGTATACGGTTAGTTTGTAACATCAGAGAGTAAGATGAACGCACCTACCACTGGCTCCATGCCAGTTTTGGTTAGCAGAATTAGGGTATGAACTTGGGATCTTTCACTGAATAGATGCTAATGCACTGGTGAAAGGTCATCAAAGCAGTCTGACTGCGCTATCCTGTAGAGATACTGAAGTCTCTCATTCCTCCCCTATCTTTTGTCCCCCTCTGGTTTACCTAATAGATGATCCTAACAATTCACATTGGCAGGCCTTTGTAGTGTAATGAACACTATGTGGTCTGATGAATGCAACCACTGCACAGAAAACGTCAGTTCTTTCATTAAGAAAACCTTCCCAAGTTCATTGTATTGAACCAGCGCTCTAGCTATTAGGCTGATACATGACACAGTCAATTCCAGTTACACTTTAAGTGACTATTCATGTTCAGTGAATTCAATTTTTAAAGCTAATTTATATATTTTTATATATTTACATGAATGCAGATTTCTTCCAACTTGTATGCCTTTTTCTGAGCTTTCTGTTATTGTAGTAGAGGGAAGAGGGGGAGAGGGAGGGAATCTTATTTCCCAACAGATCCTGAAAATGCATAGCTGATGGAAAAGACACTGAAAACCGAATCAGCAGCTTTCTGAGAATATACTGGCATAGAACTCTGAATTACTTGTAGGTAGAATAAATTGCAGTGTATGCATTTATTAAAGTTAAATCAAATATCTGCATGAATTTCTTTTTAAAATGACTACTGTTATTCACATTTATTTCTGAGGACCCATTTTCTGATATTAGCCAACACATTTCCTCCTGGTATGTAGTACTACAATTAGAGGCATGTAAACTTTTAAAGCAGGTAATTACAAAAGTTAAGCTATTGCTGCTACTGAACAGAATGCAGCAGTTCTTTCATTAGGAAAACCTTCCCAAGTTCATCGTATTGAACCAGGACTCCAGCTATTAAGCTGTGCGATGACACCGTCAATGCCTGCTACAGTATCAATTTCATTTAAGCATCTTTTTGTTATTACCAGCCTTTCTGTACTTTTTTCCAACAGACTTTGTTTATTGATAATTATTAGAGGACCACTGGTTCATATTTTCATTATACATATCCTGTACAGCCCACAGGAGTAACAGCATTTCTGTACAGATCATGCTGAAGTCTTTGAATCATTTACAGTGTGCACAGATCTTTAGAAATAAAAAATAAATAAGGTCTTTTATCGTACCTTGGATATTGAACAACAGAAATTCAGCTTTTTATCCACATATTAAAAATGAACAGGCTGTTTGCTTCTTTTGAAATACATTGCAAGAATGTCTTAATTAATGTGGATTTGTTTTAAATTGATCATAAACTATCAAGTCTACTTTTCTAGAATGAAAAAAAAATATGTATCTATATTTGTATCTTGACTTTGCCAGGCTTAAGACATTCATGAACTAAAGCTCTACTATTTAGGAAATAAAAGTGCCTTTCTTGATACTGCATTTCATAAGAGAAATTGCAATTATGGGATGCAGGGACTTTGTGGTTTGACATACTTTGCAAGCAGAGAAGGGGGATGCCCTTCAAAGTTAGAGGGTAATCATTATTGACCTTGTGCATTCAAGACAGCATAGCAGGTTTCTATATAAAGAAACTAACAGAGAGGTCATTGAAAGCACTAGTGAAGAGACATGAAAAAGAAGATAGGACAGAATACAGTGTCAGTTAAGCAGGTTAAAAAAACTAACTATAAACAGATTTGAGAAGTGAAGAGAAAAACAAAAGAACATTTTCTTTGTAAGTGGCCTGAGAATTTATGGTTCTGCATTAAATGTTGGCTGTCGGTTACGTAGCTTTTGCAATGTAATTACTAACTTTCAGAGTTTCTGCAAAGCTTTTTTTCTCTTCTTTCCCTACACACAGCATGGAGCACTTCTTTTTTTGAACAAAGGGGCATGTGCTTAGGGCTGGCACTCAGCAGGCAGGAATTTGGGTTCTGGTATTCCCTTCTTTATTCATTCACAGAGTGTCTGTAAATCTCTCTTTGTTTCAATTTACCTGTCTGCAAAATAGGTACAATAAAAGCCCCAGACATCTCCCCAGGGTTATATGACACTTAGTTTGGCACTTCAAAAAGCACACTTTGTAGAACATTTCGAAATCATGGAATGAAAAGCATTATGTAATGAAAAATAAATTACTTTAGTATGATGAGGTTGTTCCGAAAATGTTCCATTAAAGTGCTCTGGTTAGGAACATTAAGCCACCAGGGATACACAATGAATACCTCTAATATGCTTTTTTCTTTCAAACAAAAATTTAAAATAACCTGTAACACAGGAAAGGTCCTATTCATGGGTACTTTCTGCTCCTATTTAATTTAATCCCAGCTACTATTATACAGTTTTCACATATTATCTGCTTTCCCCTATAGATAAAAATTACAAAACTGAAAGAGAAACAGAAGTAAAAAGACTGGGGTCTTACATTTTTACTTTGATAAACAAAGATGCAAACCTGGTGACCTTTCTGTGACTTGTGCCTTGTTCAACCTACAGCCTCACGACGACTGTATAAATTTGGCCTCATTAGGCAAACCTCTCCTTTCTATTGGGTCTTTCATCTCAAGAGCACCAGCCTACCATGAAACTAGGAAACTGCAGTCCCAATACACTGAAAACCTCCACCAGAAGAGTCAATCATTCTTATTAATAGGTGCCCACAACATCCTAGAAACAATCCACTTGCATGACTGCCTTGCCCCTTAAACCTCCCCTCCCCTTAAACCTCCCTCCCCTGTCAGCCCCATAGCATATAGTTTCCAAAAATATGCTTCATTTTCAAGAGACAGATTTATTACAGCCTTGTTATCACATTCATACTCTTCCTGAAAAGATAAAAATAAGAAAGACTTTACAAGAAGATGCTGCAGCAATAGCTAAATCATAAATGTTTGATAAGGAATGGTTAAATCCAGACAAATAACTGTTCAATCCTACTTTGTATTAGGCAGATAAAGTCACACAGGAAATCAATGTGATCTATTGAAATGAAAAAAAAAGTCCAGCTTAGGGACTATACAGTATTATAGAATATGTGACATTATAAATGGGCTGCTTCCATAAGTGTTATACAATGAGAAGTTGCATAGTTTTTATTTATTTTTGTGTTTATGAATGTAAAAGCAGAATGTGAAAGTCACAATTTGTCAACAGGGCAAATGTGGGCAGCAGTGAAGTAGGTGAGTATTTACAACCTTTTTATTTCCCCACTCTTGAAGGGAATACATAATGCTCTCTAGGGATAAAATGATCTTCAGTCACCCACTAGCCCAGGGCTCCTGTCCACAGGCTGACAGATGTGCTAAAATTATAAGAGAAGTGTTGTGATGTTGACTCCTAAAGCAGCCATCATTAAGGTTGAAATTAGTATCCCCTCCCAGCCATTCAAATGTTAAAAAGTTCTGACACAAGGCGTAATTGGACAACTTTA